TGATAATTCTGCAGTTTTTAAATTCATTACAAGATAGAATTCTTAAGGATATTCAGGCTTTTTTTCATATGCTAAGATATGCTTTCTTAGTTATCTTACTATATTTGTTTGTTCTTGAGAATACTTTTATGGTTCTTGAGAATACCACCTGAAATTTATATAGCACTTTGGAAAGTTTTGAGTGAATTTATCTTGCTTTATCTTTAAGATGCCCTTTAAAACATACATTCTCTCAGACCCTACAAATAAGATGAAGTGGCTTATTCAGTGTCACATTGGGTGGGTGTACTATTCCAGTCCAATTGTCCTGATTCAGAATGTCTGTGCTCCTTTTCTGATTCACTGTTTTCATGGGCTTCCCAACTTAAAACTAGAAATTCTAAGTCTAGATTCACCAGTGTTTCCTCTTGTGCCCATCATAAAAGAGAACCAAAACCAGAGATCTCTCTCATTCTAGGTTATTTAATATAAAATTATTATTAGTGACCCTCATTCTTTTATTTATTCTATTATTAGTACAGTTTTTTTTTCAAGAAATTATTGAGTTTCTATGGGAATTATTATGCTCTGAAAATGCTTACTATGGACCTAATTTACTCTCAATGTATGCATATGTCCATGTACGTATCTAGTTATTTATTTATTTCTAATTGTTCCATTTTTAGAAAAAAGATTTATGATAACTTTAAATCTGCACGAAGTATAGCAAGGGGATGTAAATTAGACTGATACAGAAAACACACCCGCACAGTAAAGGTATAAAATGCACTCTGAAATGAGGCTCACAGAGCCCTGTGTATCCTCTCAGGCCTTCCATTTGCATTGTGTATGCGTGAGGCCATGACGTGTTTGACCTTAAATCAAATTATCATCCTGAAAGCAAATAAATTGTACTACGTATAATGTTCATTGTAAAAAAAAAAATTAAAAGAAAGTATTTAAGAGATAATATCTATCTGAACAATATTTAAAACAATATGGAAGGTGGCTGACATGATAATGAGGTGATTCTGGTAATAAACTAGGATTTTTACATAGGGTGTTACTAAAGAATGGGAAATTCTTTTGGACCTTAAATTATTTGTATTTTTCTGTCAATGTTGACTTGTTGGCAAGCTTATCTTTATATTTAATATCATTAACTTATACAGTGATTTTCAACCTTTTTTATCTCATGACACACAAACTAATTACTAAAATTTTGCAGCACACCAAAAAATATATTTTTTACCAATGTGACAAAAAAAATGGTATCATTTTCATTCATTCACAACAGACGACTATTGTTGTATTGGCTGTTGTCATTTTTTTTTAATTTGAAAATCTATGGGAAAAGAAGTCCACGCCCCTGACTAAATAGTCAGGTATTGCATATTTTAAAAATTTTACAGCACACCTCTCGCGGCGCCCCAGTGTACCATGACGCACTGGTTGAAAATTGCTTAATTATAGTATTAATGGCTAGCATCTGTCTGAATTATTTTCTTATGAGCATATTACATCGTTAAGTTTAAGATAAGCATAGTACCCACCGATAACTTCTGTATCTTTCGTTTTGTGAGTACTTCTTATTTGAGGAAGTGAAATTTACTTACTCAGTTAGAATGGTGGAGTCCCAAGTACTTCCTCTTAGCATTTCTCAGAATGTTAATATGTTGGAGGGTAGAAAAGGGGTTATTTATTGGTCTTTCTTTGTCATTAACATATTGTTTCTTGATTTTGCATTAAGTATATGTTGGCAGAAACATCATTTTAATTATTGAGGCTCAGTGCTAATGAGTTATATGCCTACTGAAGGCATTCTTCATGTATAGTCAGTCAGCCGTCTAATAGAAACGAGGGCAGAGTACCATGGTGGCATGTGGGGACTTACGGTTAAGCTTAATTTGCATATGGTAGTAGTTGGTGTATGGAGAAAGAGTGACGTAGGTAAAGTCATGTTACAGCAGATACTGTAAAGAAAATATATTCAGTGTCATCTGTGTTTGCAAGTCAAAAACGATGTATATAGCAGCTGGTTTTTTTAATCTAGTGAGTAATACAAACTCTTCAACAAAGATAAAGCTGACAGAAGATATCTCTTGTGATATATATGCATAAGACAGCTATTCATAACACACATCACTAATTTGTATAGCATTTCAGATAGGAGAGAGGGAGTAGAACCTAAATTGGGTTTTGTAATAGACTGTTTCCAGTCTCTTTCTGGTACCATCAAGATGCTATTATTGCCTTTTATCTCCTTCCCTTTCCAAATTTAACCTTTTTAGTTACCCTTTATTAGGAAATAGATACATTTCCTTTATTAGGAAATTGTAAGTCCCCCTTAACAAACAAAAAAAAGTGTATTGACCCTGATGGGTCTAAGAAAAGCCTTTGTAGTCAAAGCCAGTGGCTCATACATTCTAAGAGGTGCACTCAAAAATAGCATGACTACCATGTTTTGCATTGAATGGATTCATTTTTAGTTATGGTAATTTTATTGTAGTTAGATCTTAAGATATTTTCTAATTTTTAGGCATGCATACTTACTAGCCCGAGCCCTAAAACATTTACAGATGAGTTTATGTCATGTGTAGAATGTGCTTCAAAATAATCCAAGAGTGGAGAAAGCAAGTAAATGTATACCTGAAACAGGATTGGGCATGAATTGATAATGGTTGATGGGTACATACAGATTTATTAGTTTGGCCAAGAAGTCTGTTATGTTTTTTTTCTGTTTGTTTTTTTTCCCCCAATACCATGGCTCTAATAGTGCTTAGTTGTCTTTAACTTTACTCAGAACAATTTTGTAAGATTATTTGTGACAGCTGTCATATCAGCATGCATTTAAAAAATCAAAATTGGTGAATTTTTGTGTGACCATTTTAATATTGAAAATGGAAGAGGATATGCAACATTTTTGGCATACTATTCTTTATTGTTTCAAGAAAGGTAAAAACACAACCAAAATGCAAAAAAAGATTTGTACAGTGTATGGAGAAGGTGCTGTGACTGATCGAACGTCATGTAAAGTGGTTTACAAAGTTTCTTCATGCTATTGACATTTTGGCCAAATAATTCTTTGCTGCGGGGCTGTCTTATGCATTGGAAAATACTTAGCAGCACCCCTGGCCTCTACCCACTAGAAGCCAATAATGGGAGATAGTCGACATACTCAAAATATCCAAATCAGTAAAGTTATTGGTGAAAATGAAAAATGTGTCTTTTATATTATGAAAAAATGTAACGGACTTTTTTGCCAACCAATATTACACTTTCTGCTTTTATATGTTTACAATTTTCTGTAATATTCTGTAAAATGTAAAAATTTTTTAATGTATGAATGAATTAGGGCCTAGAGTACTGCTTTCTACCCTTCATACAGTAAAGATACCATCCTTTTGACTTTTAGAATAACAATTTCACCCAGATGACAATATATATTTAATACACACTTAAATTTAATGTTCTTGTTATTAGAAGATAGGAGAAAGGTTTAGTTTTGTGTTAGAAAATACCAATGTAAGATAGAAGAATTAAGTTTCAGTTTCATCACCTGTAAAATATAGACGGAGTAATATGTAAGTTGCCTTGAAACCCACCAGGCCTGAACATGTGTGGCAATAAATACCAAAGGATTTTCTATTAGCATGTCTGTATTTTTTCCACCACTTTAGTTCAATTATTTTACCATTCCACGTTTCTTGCCCAAATTATGTAACAGTAAGTGAATAGAGTGTTACAATTTCTTTTCATTAACCAATCTAAAAAGTCTTCGTTTTCCTTTATTTTGACAATATCTGCGGCAATGTGGATGTTCACTTTGTTAATTTGAGTTACACTTGGGAAGAATAAACTGCCTTCCACAGGATCTGCCTCAGAGGGTGGTTCAGTAATTGTTCCATGAGAGGAGAGTGAGAATGTTGTTCCACTGCTGATTAGAGTATCACTGCAGGATAGGTAGTGTCCAGTTTTCCATCCTACCAAGTGGATTGGGCAGTCTGGAGTTAAGTACTGAATGATTTCTTTAAAGATGTTAGTTCTCTTTGCATCCCTTGTCTCATCTTTAAAATGGTTCTAATTCATCCCATTTCTGCCTTCAAATGATTTTATGACTTTTATCATTTTTTAAATCACACGACTAACACCAGGGTATAATGCAGAAACAAAAATATAGCCGTGGATGTTATAAAGCATCTGCCTTTTGTAAGGCAGCACTATCAACAGGGAAAGAAAACAGTCTTGCCCTATTTTCCTGCCAATTATGAGTTCTTAGGGCGGTTACATTTGAGAAATGGGGTAGGGAAACTTTGAATAAAATCTTTAATAATTACCATAAGTAAATCTCTGTCTTAAAAATATTTGCACAAATCCTTTGTAGTATGAAAGAAGATGAAGGATGAAGTTAACTCCCTCACATAGTAGTGTGTCCCACAGGAGCTGCATCAGGATGTCAGGCTCTTGGGATAGATGGTGGCTCCTGGATACAGAGTTGTTTTATTTTTTTCCACTTATGAATCAAGATTGTAAAAGACTGAGGCAATTAAAATGGCAGTATTTAGTCATAGTTTTATGCACAGGAACTTTTCCAGAGTGGATTTTAAAGTGAATTGTTTTAATTCTTTATTTATAATAAATTTTTGTCATAAAATGTTTAATTAGTACCAGTGCCTTTTGGTAAAGAAGGATGTGATTCAATTTCCAGTTTTCTGCAGGACCAAAGTTTTGATACATTAACATTGTAAGCAAACATTCAGGAAAATTAGGTTAGACTCCTTTTCTTTGGCCAAACTTTTTTAAAGGAAATTTTTAAAATGAAATTTGATATACTGAACATTTATCATATATTTTGGCTTTATGTTCTATTCCACTATCTCCCCAAGACATACCTTTCCCCCACTGACTAGCCTAAAACCTCTTTTTTGCGATTTCTTTTTACAGTTCTAAAACTTTAGCCCCTCCCAATACTGTTTCATTTGAACAAAGACCAATAAGCACATTTTTTTGTGTTTGTTCAGGAGTCAGATGGCCAGGGCTGCCCCTTCTGTCGCTGTGAAATAAAAGGAACAGAGCCCATAATTGTGGACCCCTTTGATCCAAGAGACGAAGGCTCCAGGTGCTGTAGCATCATTGACCCTTTCGGAATGCCGATGCTGGACTTGGATGATGATGACGACCGAGAGGAGTCCTTGATGATGAATCGATTGGCAAATGTTCGAAAGGTAAAACTAGAAAACATAGGTTCAATTAGGGTGGTGCGTGGGCATGAAGAGAAATGATGCTGTCACACATGGGGTATGACTGACTGACTGTGTTTTGGAAAGAAAGATTAAGGCATCAAAAGAAAGGTGAAGATAGAAGTACTGTGGACAAGGTGATGAATTCATACACTGTGAAAGAACTGTGGACTCAAAAGTGTACTCTCACTAGTTTTAGACCTCAAAACGACAGATGGTGAGAACTTTTGTATAGAACTATACGTTATCTAAGACTGGCAGTAGGAGATTTGTGAAGAACAATTTAAGAATGAAAATTACTAAAATTGGAAACGATGAAACTGATCAAAAAGTCTTTGCTGGAGTCTAAAATAAGCATCTGATACAGTTATTTTCTTCCCAGGAAAGCCAGCCTTCTGTGTGGCTACTAAGAGGTCACATAACATTAACCTTTGTGCATTTACCATAATCTGTGGTTTGTTTATCAATATTGCCAACTCAGAAAATTGATTTTTTCAGTTCACCGAGAATGGATGCTACTGCCTGGTTGGATTCTATATAACCAAGCTCACAAGAGACTAATCAATGAATCAGAATGCCAGCTGAGTAATTTACAAACCAGAAATACAGTGATCAAGAGAGCTGGACTCTAGATATCACGCTACTCTCTGTACAGTAAGATACATGAAATTCAGATTATACTCAGAACTTTTGTGGTCTCAATATCAGCAAAATGGCAATGGGTATGAAAGGGCCTGCAAATACCATGTGAAGGTGACCCCTTTCCTCCTGACTCATGGCAGTCATGGCTAATCAGTCATGGTGTTCATCCCTGCCGAGTCCAGACTTTGCCTATAGAACTTCCGCTGCAATTCATTAAGATTTGGCAGGTAACATGAAACCTATTTGCCATCCAGGTGGAGTGATCATAATGTGTAGTAGCATCAGATTGTATTTGCCATATACATTTATCACTCTGGTGGGGAAACACTTGGTGGAGAGGACATATGTGCTATTCAAAAATAAATTTAAAATAATTAAAAGGTAATAAAATGTAAAAATCGTATTCCTCAGATGCACTTGACATATTTGAAATGCTCAGTTTCCACTTGTGGTGTGGCTGTCCTATTAAATTCTGCAGATATAGAACATTTTTCTATAGGTGTTGAAATATGTATTGAAGATAGATGTAATAGAAGTATTTATTATTCAGTAGATAATTCTGTTGGGTAGAACTTCATTAGATCATTCCTACAGGCTCTTATTGGAATAAGCTAAGTCTTGGTGCAAAAGGGCATTTGTTGAACTTTAATAACCTAATGGCTTTTGCTGTATCTGGATATAAGACTATGACCGAGCACTGGAATCATCAAATTATGGCCTGTTTTTGTTTGTTTTTCTTGTGAGCCGAGAATGATTTTATCTTTTAAATGGATGTATATTTATAAGTACCTATGTAATCTTACTGATTTTGCCTCTTGGCTTGCAAAGCCTAAAATATTACTATGTGGCCTTTATGAAGAAGATTGCAGTCCCCAGGTCTAGGGCACCGTAAGCAGGTGAAGAATGATATTGAATGAATGGATAATAAGGAATGAGAGCAAAGTGTTTGAAAAGCAGACAGCAGTTCAGGCAGTTTAAATAACTTGATGGTAATTTTTTTCTAGCTAGCAAAAAGGCATTTCGATTTTCTTTACTAAATGGAATTTTTTCTTTTAGTGATTCATGTCAGGGGAGGGGAGTGGGGCATGAAGAGTAATTCTTTCAAGAGTTTTGTGTATTTACTGCTTGGAGGAAACAGTATTTGCCCTGTATGATTTGGAAAATGTTGCAGTCTTGGCCTGTCTTCCATTGAGTTGAGTTGAAGCTTGAGCTTTTTCAGTAGTGGCTCTGACAAGTGAAAGGAATTACTGGTAGCATAAAATGAACAGAATGCTGGGAGGTGACTCTACTGGTTTGCCCTGATCTTTTTACCAATCTCAACGCCGTGCGTGTTTTGTTCTCTCCCTGGCACACTGGTGAGCTTTCTGTCAAGGGAGCTGAAAGATTTTTACATTGACCTTCACTTTAGTTTATGTGACAAGGAGAATGTGCTTTCAGACATTATTGTTCCAGAAGTCTCACTTCAGTGGCTTATTTGGCAGTCAGTGGAGTCATTCAATAAAGTTTTCAGTACAACCAGTGTTACCTCTATATGTTCCTATGGCAGTTAGATATAGGAAAAAGTTAAAAAATTTGGAATTATTTGTTCCTAAGAAGCATATTTGAATTACATGTCTTTATGTGCACCGATCTGCTCCTAGTTAAACAAATTGTCAATTTTATAATATTTCACAACTCGCTGTCATTTAAATTTCAGTAAAACCTAAATTTTAGTGTAGATCTCAGTATCAGTTCTTTCTGAATAACTGACAGAAATATTGCTATGACATTATGTTCCTAGAACACTGTATATGTACTTCTATTTCCATAGTATATTAAATTGTTAGAGGACTGTCTTCTGTATTAGACTCTTCATTCTTAAGCCTAGTGTCAGTGTCGTGTCTATGGTCATGTTCCCTGGCACCTAAACACACTCAGTATTATCATAAATGACATCATAAACACACATGCATGCTTACATGTTCTTTGAGGACAGTGACCCAATTTTACGCTTCTTTCTGTCTTTGTTCCAATCTGAAGACTGAATATATATGTATAATTTGATGTAATACAATTTGATTTTATTCAGTTCTGTCTTATAGCTGAGTTCATGAAGATCTATCACGTGGTCATTTGAACATAATAGCTCTTCTCCCAGAATTTTCCTCCTCTAGTTCTTTTTTCTTTTTTTGATTGGTTTGAGAGAGAGAGAGAGAGAGAGAGAGAGAAACATCAATTTGTTGTTCCACTTACTTATACATTCATTAGTTGACTCTAGTATGTGCCCTGATAGGGGGTCAAAACCCTCAACCTTGGCATATCAGGATGACACTAACCAACTGAGATGTCTGGCTAGGGCATCTCCTTTATGTTTTTTAAATCATTCTTTTTTCTCATTCATTTTTTTCCTTTTTTCCCATTTTTTAATTGTATTTTTTCCATTACCATTTAGTCTCCTTATATCCCTTCCCCCTATCCTGTAATCACCATGCTGTTGTCTGAGTCCTTTTTCCTTTTTGGTCAGTCCCTCCACCTTCTACCCTCCCCCCTTAGTTGGTTGTCATCCTGCTATCTATGAATCTGTCTCTTTTATGCTTGTTTAGTTTGGTTTATTCATTCATTTTAAAACCATTTAATTTTCTCAGCTCCAGGAGTGACTGTCAGTCATTGTCCAGCAGAATGATTTCAATTTTTTATCTGCTTTTTTAAATACTCATCTGTCTCCTCTTTTATGAACAGGCTGATGACTATATTGTGGAATCTTTCTACCTATCTTAAGTGTATTTCTTTCTTTAAATTAGTCATGCCTCCATCATGTCATACAGGACTGAGTTCTTTATATATTCCTATTACCATGGTGATATCCTACAGCTGGAGTTCATAAATAGCAGCATACTAAACATATAGACTTTATTATTACAAGTTAAGCATATTTAATAATGCTAATTTTACAGAAGGAAACAGAACCTACAGATCTATAATACAGTTTATATTTGTCACCCTTCTTGATATAGGCTATTTTATGATTTTAACTAGAAGATGTTTTAGATTTTTCTTAAAATTGTACCATTGTCTTTGTTCTTGATCTGTCAGAATTTCTAGGATGATTAGATCTGATGTGAGCCCTCAAAGGATTCCAGGGTATGATTGGTAAGATCACATCCTTCTCTCTGACTTCAGTGAGATCAGAGCTTAGAAAAGGTGCCTGTTGCTAGTCAGAAGTTTGTTTCATTTTGCCAAAGGTGTAAAGAGGCATCTTAATAGTTCCTTAGCAGTTATATTGATAGGATGTCTTCTTCACCAAGTACATAAAATTACAAGCGAAAATAAATAAAGATTTGCATACAAAATAAAAATGTTGACAGGCTGGCTTGGTATATGAACCCAGATTAATTCCTTTGATCTTAAAATTTTTATTTTTTTAAAACACTACATAAAATGTAAATGAATTGCTATATAAGAACAAAAACCAGTATGGCCATAGGTCAAGGCACTTAATTTTTTAATACATTCTCCTAATGTTGTTGTCACCAGTTAAAATACATATTACTTATAAAAACTTATCATCTAATTCTTGCTTTTCCTAATAAACGTAAAGAAAGGATCCATAATAATGCTAATCTTGAGGAGTTTATGTGTACGATCAGTGTCTTTGAAGTGTTTTTAGAAGAATGTTGCCTTTTTGACATGACTTAGATTCCACCCACAGGGCTTGAGCCTATGCTGGAGCAGTAATGACAAAGATTACAACAAAAGTGAAATACAGGAATAACAATATAGACATTCACAATGTAGAACATGATTCCCCACTATGGGCAGCTCTGCCTCCTAGGGGTGTTCAGAAATATGTGGGGACATTTTTGGTTTTAACAATGACCGATAGGTAGGGGAAACCACTGGCATTTAGTGGGCAGGGCTAGAGATTTGAAATGTCCTGCCTCCCAGGGGCAGTGCCACACAGGGGAATCATTCTGAACACCTGCCAGTAGTCCTTGCCTCTCCACTGTGCACACAGATAAAGTCAGGGATGACAGTGAGCAATCCAGAGTCACAGGTTCATGTTTGCCATTTAACTGCGTTAGGTTTACTTATGTTCGTAAAGCTCTCTGCGCAAAATAGTAACATTTTCTTTATTAGTATATGGTTAACCAAGCAAAACACTGCCTGGTGTTGTAGGGGACCTTGAAGATACTGTTGCGTATTCTGCAAAAATGGTTTGAATATATAGTGGTTTAGGAGAAGCAAGCACTTGAAATCTGGCAGTTGGTCAGCCTCCTGTGGTGGACTATGAGCTCCTGGAGGGCAGAGGCCGCTCCTTGCGTGATATGATGCATAGTATGCCATTGAAAAAGGTGGGGGGGGGG